GGTCTTGGCTCTGTGTTCTTACCCTGAACTCCTGGAAGACAACAAGTTTCCAGAGGACGCCAAGAAAAGGGCGAAGCGTATTCTCCAGGCCTGCGGGGGCCACAGTATAGGTTAGACAACTCCCCCTCAGTCCACCAACCACATTTACACCTCCTCCTTCCAACAACGCACGTCAATAGCATCTTCTTCCATTTGTCTACTCATTAATAATTTATTTGGACAGCCTGTACACTATTTAAACAGGGCATCAACTAATCAATGTAGCATGTTCTGTTTAAATCAAAGTTCATTTTCATGTGTCCAAGGGGCCTACAGCGCGAGCCAGGGCATTGAGTGCGTTCGTCAGGATGTGGCGCGCTACATTGAGAAGAGAGATGGTGGAATCTCCTCCAACCCTGACAACATCTACCTTTCCACTGGGGCCAGTGATGCCATTGTGGTATGGGTTACACTTTGTATCGTCTCCTCTCCAGAAAAGTGCTAACATACTTAAAGCTGAGCCACAAGTTGATATGTTGCCTGTGAATCTTTTCTTTATTCAACTTCTGTTAATTATACACTCAGCCGTACTTTGCACATCAGTGACTTTACACCACCCACAGACCTTTGCCACTGTCAATACAGATTTCTCCTGTTTTATGCAACCTAATCAGGCTACTGAATAACCTTAAGATACACTTAACTACTGCACCAGGAGAGATTAAACTGTGACATTTCTGGCCCACCATGTAGGAGTGTTTGAATAGGGCTGTACCCAACTCAAATTGGCTGTTATATATAAAGATTTGACTATTTGTTCCCTTTTTTTCTTCAGTTTAGCATCACACTAAACTCCTATATCAGCAGTCCTTGCTGTGGAAATGCAGCTACGTGAGTCTCATGTTTTAGCCTACCTCACGTTTTACTGCCTTTCTTTGTCATATGTGATCTTAAAACATCAGATTTCTGAACAGTCGGAGAAAGTAAAAGTGTATAAAATCACTATAACGTGCACCACAGAGCATCTCTCCTGCAGGGCTTCTCACGGCACTGTCAGCCAAAGAGTCAATCCCAGAGGACGGCAGTAATGGAGGTTGTATCACCGTTCTAAAGTGGTTTAGCCGACTTCACTTACAGCCATCACTGGAGCAGCCTGTCTATGGCGCCACACTGCCGTCCATTAACTATCACTCTTCTCCATTTCAATCACAGTTAGTTTTGTGGTTTATGGGCATAAAATCTAGTGCCAAATAATCAGACCCAACTGGTTGTACACCTACCTTCCTTATTACATTCTCCTAAATATTGTTTTATTGCTCCTACCCTCTCAACTCTCTTTCTTCCTTCTTCTCTTCCCTCCTTTCCTTTCTCCTCCCTCTCCCTCCTCCCACCTCCCAGACTATGCTGAAGTTGCTGGTGTGTGGCGAGGGTCGTGATCGCACAGGAGTGATGATCTCCATCCCCCAGTACCCTCTCTACTCGGCGGCCCTGGCAGACCTGGGTGCCGTGCAGGTCAGCTACTACCTGGACGAGGACAAGTGTTGGAGTCTGGATGTTGCAGAGCTCAGGAGATCCCTCAATGCAGCCAGGCAGCACTGCAACCCCCGTGTCCTCTGCATCATCAACCCTGGAAACCCCACCGGTACGTCGGTCGTAGCTTCTGTGTGTGAAATGAAACAGTTTTGTCATTTTTTGTCGCCGTGTGTGTGCACACCTGACTTACAACATCAAACTCTTGTTGTCCTGTGTGATAGGTCAGGTCCAGAGCAGACAGTGCATTGAAGATGTGATCCGATTTGCTAAAGAGGAGCATCTCTTCCTCATGGCTGATGAAGTAATACACCAATGTTATTCCTCAATTCAGACACATTTCACTAGCAGTTTCCTCTGTCTTAAAAAAACAAAACTAGTGATGTCAAAGCAGGTGTTTTGTTTGTTTTTTCACATCACTACTTGGAATGTGACCACAATTACTAACCACAGTAACCACTAAACAGTGGTTGACAAAACACCTCTCAATATAAGGCTGTCAAATACAGCACCACTATTGATTACAGCCTTATAAATGATCATATAGGTTGATGACAATCATTTATCATCCAGGTTGATGACTACATACTGTACATTTGAAATTGAGATAGACATTTCTGCTAACATGCTCGCCTTAATTCATTACTTGTGCAGAAGTTACAGTTAAGTTGCTGTCATTTGCTATGTGAACACACCTTTGTCACTCACTCTTTTGTGTACAGATTTTCTTCTACAATTGTAAAGTATAATGATGGGTTTTTACTGAGGCCTTGTGTATACTATTTAAGCTGTTTTCCCATTTTAGGTCTACCAGGATAATGTCTATGCAGAGGGCTGTAAGTTTCACTCCTTTAAGAAGGTGTTGTTTGAGATGGGACCAGAGTACTCCAGCACAGTGGAGATGGCATCCTTCCACTCTACCTCCAAATGCTACATGGGAGAGTGAGTAGTTAGACACGCAGACAAACAGGACTTGTAACTTCTACAAGCTAAGCTACCGTTGCTGACGTGGACATCATCACCTGTACTAAGAGTATACTTTGTGTTTAACTTACTCTTTTCCTCTGTTTGCTTTTGTCAGGTGTGGATTCCGTGGCGGCTACATGGAGATCATTAACATGGACCCTGAAGTGAAGGCACAACTCACCAAACTAGTGTCGGTGCGTCTGTGCCCCCCTGTCCCCGGACAGGCTCTCTTAGACCTGGTGGTCAACCCTCCGCAGCCCGACGAGCCCTCCTATACCACATTTATGAAGGTCTGCCCCCAGGAAAAACACAAAGCACAGCAGCTATCACACATCCTGGCAATGCTCTGAGTGTATGCAAACACAATTTACTTATGTAAACATCCTGCAATATAATCCACGCATATAATGAGTGTGTTTTGAAAAAATGCTATGTTTCGTTGTTTATGCCAGAACATAATGTATGATTTAGAGATGTTTTATGCCACCTCTTCAAAGGGGGAGAAATGAGGTTGGAACTTTGTAAAGAGGATCACATGTTTTACGCATTCTTTAAAAATCCTGTGTCCGTCTGACCTACAGTTAAGTGGAAGCATTGTGTGGTCAAGGAAGCCATTAGGTCAATAGTCATTAGTGTGTGTATGGGTAATATTGTGTGTTGTAGTGCATGGCTGCATGTTTCGGCATCTAGTTGCATAACTGACCCGGCAAAAGATTTCATTAGTCTATCCCAACCAGCACACCTGGCTTTGAAAACAGTCAACTGAACAGAAGTCACCTTGTATTGTACTTGGTAAATATGTACTACTCCTTTCCTTTAGAGGGTGTGTGTTTACACTGGAACAAGGATATAAAAGCACTTGCTCAGCAGTGAGTGACACATATAGTGGTTAAGCTTGGCTTGTTGTCATGCCTCCAAATGATTAACAAATAAAGGGTTCAGTTCAGGGGTTGGATTCCTCTTAAGTACCCATCTAAACCAGAGACAAGTAGGCCCGCCCCATTCATCCTCAGTTATTGAAGTTGGAAAATAATCAGTTATTTGGTTCTCCACTGCAGAATGTAAATAATGGAAGCCAGACAAAATAATATTATTACCAGCATGTCACAGCCTGTACTGAAAACTCAGATATTATGAAACTTGTTGGCTGTTGGCTGTTGGCAACCATCTGGTGATAAACATTGACTTTACGAGTTAATGTGGCGCTTGTGAACGCACCATTAGTTCTTGTCTTTGAGAGAACCTGAATGCCCTGACAGCTTTAACTTTTTCTTCCTCCTCAGGAGCGAACAGTGGTGTTAGCAGATTTAGCAGAGAAGGCCAGACTCACGGAGCAGATCTTCAACAAAGTACCCGGTATCACCTGTAACCCGGTGCAGGGGGCCATGTACACCTTCCCCCGCATCACTCTTTCTCAGAAGGCAATCGACAAGGCAAAGGTCTACACTACACACACACCTTATCTCACTGTTGAGCATCATCCTGATTTTACTTGTCTGCGTGGATGTGATCACTTCAAATGCGTGCATGTGTCCATCCACAGGAGGAAGGCCAGGTCCCAGACATGTTCTACTGTATGAAGCTGCTGGAAGAGGAGGGTATCTGCCTGGTGCCAGGAAGTGGCTTTGGCCAGAGAGAGGGAACCTTCCACTTCAGGTAAGTACAGCTCAACTGGACTTTTTGTCCTAAAATCAGCTCATTCTAAGTCTAATAGACTCTGGTTTAACTACACCTGTGGCAGTGTTAACCCACATCCTGCTACTGTCTTCCTCTGTCCAGAATGACCATCTTGCCTCCAACTGAGAAGCTGAAGGTTGTGCTGCACAAGATCTCAGAGTTCCACCTGCGGTTCACACAAGAGTTTTCATAACGACCTTGCCACCTTTCAGCTACATCTCAAGAACCAACTCATTCAGTGCCAGTATCCTCAAGTGCCTTTGTGTGAAGGAAGCAGCAGTCTCAACGTCACTGCCTCCGGCATTCATGCCAGATCAGATTCTTAAATTCAGATTTTTTAAAGAGATGATTTTCACTGTTTTTTTCCATCAATGAAGAACCTTGAACATTTCCTTGTTTAGACAGTATGTGAAAGCTAGTCATAGTGCCTTCTCATGTGTACGTACAGCATGTGAAGATATGATTTCAGTACATGATGCACTTTCCCACAGTATTGCCAGTCCAGGTTTGTTCATGTGGTTTGTAATGTTCAAAAATATGTTCTAGGGCTGATGGTATGTTTTTATCTATAGAGAGTTTAAGATATTTCAGATGCTGCTACAGGGGCATCTCTCTCCTGCCCAGACTTGTAGAGCCAAATTAATTTGAAGTATCAATTTAACATGTTAGGTACTTGATTAATCTGACTGGCCATAGAGCCATTTGTATTTCTAATGTTTAAATTGTTCTTAAATGTGATTAAAAACACTTGAATTTCTAAAACACTTCTGAAATGTATGCAATGTCACCTCACACGTTTGCAACACATCTTTGAGCTTGTATTGACTGACAGGAACAAAAGAGTCACATTTAAGTGCTGGCCCACAAAGCCGCCATCATTTTTGTATTTTATTTAAAAAGACTTTAACAGTGCTTACATGCTTTTAGAAACAGAAGAAAGCGGAATCTCTTGGAATGAATAGAAACTAAAACGATGATTTAACATTGTAATCATCACAGCAACTCAGTAACACCGTTTAACTCCCCCCCCCCAGCGTCCTCTAAGACTCCGACCCGAGCACGGTAAGAGTTCTTAGCTACTTGTCGAGAGACATTCTCAAAGTTCGTCTCTGTTCTGTGATAGCTTTGTGGCGTGCTTTTCCAAGAACTTGCTCAGCCCCTCCACTGTTCTGTCTCCACCTTCTAATTTGATGGGACTCTGCTTGCTGTTGCTCGGGGAAAAGTATATCGTGGGGAAGCCTTCCACTTTGTAGCTTTCATTTGGCACGTCGTTAGCCGTGGCGTCCATCTTGGCGATCACCAGGTTCTTCTCTCCCTTGTACCTTTTGCCCAGAGCCAAATAATCGGGCTCCATCTTCTTACAGTGGCCGCACCAGGGAGCGTAAAACTCAATCAGGACATCCTTTTGGGTGTCCATGACGATCTCGTCAAAGGTCTTTCCTACCACAACCTTAACCGGTCCTTTGTTGTTCTTTGGCACTGGCTGGGACTTGATGATGGGTTTGAGCTTTCCTGAAGACAGGAGAGAGAAATTCAGAAGAAGTGTGAATTGACTTCCAGTGTGAACTGCTAGAACTGGAGCTGCTGTTTATTTATGCACAGTATACAGGCAAGATTAGTGCAGCTAATCAAATTGTAGAGCTACAAAGTGCTGCCATCATGTGCTGGAATATTCACCTATACTAAAAAAAATTCCAGTCCTGGAAATTATATAACTAATGTGACATCTTCAGAAGTGAAACTTGGCTTTTACAGTGCAATTAACTAAAGGAAACTGTATGTGCCTCACATTGTTAATCAGACAAACAAACAAAAAAAAAGAAACCTCACCTTTCTTGAAAGCCTTAACAAAGTCTCTCAATACTTCAGAGTCAACCTCCTCTGGCTCCATGGCAAACTTTTTGCCTCCTTCTGCCAGAATTCCCACATTCACTTCCTCCCCGCTGTCGCTCAGGCCTAAGGTCTTCAGCTCTTCTGCAAAGTCCTCCTCATCAGCGATGGCAAACGTGTACTCTGGGAAGTCCTTGGCCACGTCGAGTACCTTGGACCGCCAGAACTGCGTAGCTAAAAAATAAAAGACAAACAAGAGAAGATGTTTGTTGTTAGGTCAGGTCGTGTAAATTGTTCAGTAGTTGCTGGCGTCTATTCCACAGGCAAGGTCTCGGGTCAAACCCATGAACTAAAATATGAGAAACTCACTTTTCCTGTAGTCAAAGCTGAAGTCCACTCCATAGTACACAACCACTAGGGGTCTTTTGGTGTAGCGCTTGGCATCATTGCTTGGTTTCCTGTGGCCCACCAGAGGAATCACATGCTTTTTGAAGAACTCCTGCACTTCTGACACCGATGTAGAGTCCTATGTGATAAATACATTTTTGTGTCTCGAGTTCAACAGTTACTTTTTAACAAAGAATTCAGAAAACACACTTTTTAGAGGTGGATTATGCAGCAGTGCTGCAGAAACTCCTTACTGCTAATCTAGTCTATTTTTAAACCGATACTAGAACTGAAAGAAAGTACAGACATGTATGATTCAGAGTTTCATACCCTGTGAAGAAAATTAAAAACCACAACTGAACCAATCACCACTGAAAATGATAAAACAGCCTTCCTACCTTTACTGCAAATGTATGCGATGCTGGCTCGTACTTGGAGAGGAACTTTTCAGGGTGAACGATGACAATCTGACCAGGTGAAGCTTTGAGTAGTTTGGACACTTCAGAGCTGAAGGTGTGACGGAAGGTGAAGTCTTCCCTCAGTGCATTACCTTTTTCAGACAGAAAGAGAGAGACCGAGAGCAATGAGAGTTTGAAGAACAACAAGAAAGGGTTTAAGGCAGTCTCTGCTCTCACCACACAGAGATATTAAAAACTGACAATGATCTCTAACCAAGCTTCCTTTATACAGCACACAAAAGCATAAAGTGAAAAATAACTGCATTCTTTAGTTTAGTGTCACTCATACAACTGCAAATTTAGTGGCGACATTATTGGCTCTGAGCACATGTCCAGCTCATGGTACTTACAGGCCTCAATGTAGATCTCATAGGCGGCGTCCTGTTCGTCGGAGAACACGCCGACTATGACAGCATCGTCACCATCTTTGATTAGCTCCTGCACCTGTTTCACTGCCTGAACCTGCTTGGAGGGAGGCCCTGCCTGCTCGCCCATGTACTCCACAATACCTAGCGGGAAAGGGAAAGAAGTGAAATTTGCACACAAGCCTCCATAAATACGAACCTTCGCATACATGGAAAACAGCGAGGATAGACCGATTTGTAGGAGTATAAATGACATTACAGTGTCGTTAAGTGACGTACCATGCTGCTCTCTGGGTCCGTTGTAGTCAAACACTTTGCCTTTCCTGAAGATCTTGAGGGTGGGATAGCCCGTGACTCCAAAACGTGTTGCGACTTCGCTCTCCACAGTGGCGTCCACCTTGGCCAGAGGGATGGGAGGAGTGCGCTGGCTCAACTCCTTGGCTGCCTTCTCGTACTCTGGAGCCAAACGCTTGCAGTGCCCACACCTGAAGGTTAGTTACATAACAGGCAAATAATGAGGAATGCTTTTATTAGTCTTAACAACCGCTATTAAAAAGCTATCACTATCACTCCAATGGATGTCTGCGTGTTATTTCTATCTGTATTTTATGATTTACCATGGAGCGTAGAACTCCACCAGGATGATGTCTGCATTGTTAACAGTCTCATCAAAGTTGTCCTTGGTCAGCACCAGCGTCGCCTCAGGAGGGGGCTTCCAATCCGGCTGTGCCACCTCTTTTATCCGGGCCACGATAGCTGCAACAAACACGCATTCAACACATTACTGCCAATTCTTTCCCAAAAAGGAAGTCAGCTTTAGTTTGTGGTAGTGGTTAAATGAATTACATGTCCCTACCCTTCTCTGTCCTGTCTCCGTCGTAATCCACAGGTTCCCCATTTTTCAGGATCTTGATGGTGGGATAGCCCGACACTTCGAACCTGCTCGCCAACTCAGTGGCTACTGTTGCATCCACTTTGGCCACAGGTATAGGAGGGTCGTTCTCCTTAAGAGCCTGAGCGATTTTCTCATACTCCGGGGCGAACTGTTTGCAGTGGCCACACCTAAAAAAAAAATATTAGAAGTGATGGAAAGTTTGCAGGGATATGGCAAGTAAGGGAGGGACAATTCTCAAGCTGAGGAATAACATACGTACCAAGGGGCGTAAAACTCAACCAGAACTGTGTCTTTGCCCTCCATGAAAGTTTCATAGTTGCGATCAGTGAGAACCACCACTCCATTTTCTTCTTTCACCTCTGTGTCGTCATCATCATCATCATCATCATCCTCCTCCTCATCATCACTGTCCTCTTCATCAGACTCCTCCTTCTCCTCTGTAACATCTGACAGCAAACAAGAAAAAGGACACAAGCTGATTCCAGGAGCAACTTATAACCTCAAACAGTCTAAACGCTGCTGGTTTTACTCCTGATACCATTAAAGCATAGAGATAACATGTAGCATGTGGTAGCAACACACATCCTGTCTGTAACAGAGGTTTCCTGTACTGTCACAATGTAGCAGAAACAAGCTGAACCAAGCTGAACCAAGCTTTTGGATATGCCTAACGTTATAACAATGCACATTTGTACGTGTTGGCCAGTCCTGTTGACATTAGCCGACCTGTCCTGTGAGCTAGCGTGCTAGCAGAACTAGCCAGATGTTACAGTAACTTAGCTAACTCACAGATAACGCACACCAGCTGCGACACTGCGACACTTCAACAACTCGTTCAGCTGCAGCGCGACACGCAAGGCTCTGACATGACTCCCACTTACCATCCTCACATCTGCTGACAGTTGCAAAGTGTGCGACACCGAGCAACACAATCAGGAGCAGAGCAACCTTCCTCATTGTCCAAAGATGACGCGGTCCGGTGGTTAACGACGTGCTTCTCGGAGGTAGCCGGCTAATTGACTTAGCTAATAACACTGATGAATGTCATCAAAACACTGTCGGCTGCACAGACCCGCTGTCCGGATCAATACTGATGTGCGGCTGTGAACGCCTTTGGCTCGTGGTTTCATACAAACTAATCAGTCGTGAAATCACGCACGCCTCCTCCTCCGTCTGGAACTTGTCTGAGTTGCCACGTCGTGATTGGCTCTCATCGTCGGCTGTCCTCCAATCACACTCCGCCACTCAATTATACGTTGGAGGATGTGATTGGAGGATTTTATTTATTTATTTCCCTTCTTGGTCTTCTGCCACAAATAACTGCTACACACTTTGCCAGTGGGTTAGAAAGACCGTATTTGATGTACAAACTTTATTTACACAAACAGTGACTCTTTATCACAGTGTTTCAGTCTTTAAAGCCTAAGGGTCAGAATTTAGATAGCAAACCTCTATATATCTTGAGGCTGTATATCCCAGAACAACTGTTCACACTGTATTCTTATTGAAGAAACTTTTGTTTGCAAACAAATAATAACACATTAGTCAGCTCTTAGGGAATAAGGACAGACAACTGCAGACAATCTAAATTAAAATACATTTATTGATAGCTGACTAATATGTCAAACTACAGAAATGATTCTTTATTATATAAAGGTAGAAATAACTTTGTACACACAACCTTGAGACTGAACATGTATTTTTATTGATGCATTAACCATACAAAGGCTAATCTGCGTTAATAAATAAATTGTCCATCTATCAGTTACAAAGTCACAAAGAACTAGCCATAATGTTTTTTTGTAATGATACTTATAAAGTACCCACCATTATTGGAAGCCTTATTTTAAATGTTTATGTGATCCAGGTAATCTCCTATTTCTATACAGTATAACTAACAGTTTAATAAATGTAGACCTTTGAGACATCTACTGGACTCTGCTTCTTATTTGACTTTACACTCGCAGGCTCCTCATGGACCAGAACTTCCACCACCACCTCTGTGTGGGTGGCCTGAGTTTTACTTAACCTGCCACTGTCATTTGTTTGAATGCATTGGTCAGCCTGCTTCTCCAGAACATCTTCTGTCCAAACCCTGATGAGTGAAGCTGAGTCTGAGAGGGGCAGGTAGTTTTGTGCCTTTAAAGAAGTCTGGAGCTCTCTGTTTATAGGGTTTTCTTTGGCTCTTGTTCCAGGTTGTTGTGAATTATCCGATGCCACAACACTGTCTGGGGTGGGATTTTCTCCTTGTTGGTCGTTCTGCTGCAGGAACTGTGGTATTTCTAGTTCAAGCTTGGACCTGGAAATGCAGTGTTGCGCAAAATAAGTTCGGAACTATTATCAGTTTGTAATTTACATTTCAAAGTTTGCTTAAGAATACTTTATAGCCTAAGTAGATGCATGAGATTTTTTATTACCGGAGCAGGTGAGATGCAGGTAGGGTTTCTCTGTGCCCACTGACTGTGCAGTCTTTTATCATCATCTCTTCTGTCATTTTTGTTCTTATTAAGTCCTGTAACAGAATCACACAGTGTTAGGCTTTCCAGAAGATATCTTTTAAAATAATGTATTGTGTGTGAGAGAAAGTATGTATATGAGGCTGACTCGCCTGTGCATCCCTGTTGGACGGCTCCTGTACGGGTGAGATGATGGGACTGTTCTCCTCCCTGTAGCGATGGGCTTTGGTGGGCAGAGTGTGGTGCAGACTGTTTGAGAGGGCGTTTAGTCTGAACAATAGTTCATCCACCAAACATTCAAACTCCTCAAAGTAGTAAGTCTGAAAAACCAAAAGGCAAAGTCATTGGCCTCTGAATTTAGGTGTAACTAATATAATTAGGTGGTATGATGTGGAACATTTGAGGAGGTAGAGTAGCGTGAGATAGTAATTAATAATCCTGGTTTAGTAGCTCAGTAATAATCTCAGTAGTTCACACAAGGTCATTTGAAAATAATATATAGAAATTTAAAAGCAACTTTAATGATAATGTAATATTTTACAAGAAATCTCAGGACTGAGTAGCTTATTCCTTACCTTCACTTCCACATGATTTTCGATCCATGCTTGTCTCCGCTGCCCAGTGAAGTCAGAGACCCTCTGTCTGATGTAGCCGGCTAATTCAGCTACAGTGAAAAAATTCCCCCTGCTTTGAGATCTTTTGGCACTTCTGACCAATGAGGACACAACACCTATAGCCTACAAGAAAGACAGATTGCTGTTAGACTCATCTGGACTCTGACAGACTGTTTCCTTCACAAAAAAAGTTGTGCAGATACTTAATTTATGCATAAATCAGTGTATTCAGGCAAAAAAAAGTAATAGTATTATTAGTATATATATACCACTGCTGTCCACACCACAGAAGACGACAGATAGAGAATGTCACAGTAAAGGAAATCATGCTCTGAGAGGAGGAGGCCCCTAACGGCTCTGGGACCCCAGTAGTGACAGAGCAGAGTCTGAAAGGTGCGGGAAAGTGAGCTGAAGGCCAAGGAGCTCTGTACGAACAGGAGATTCCCCACACAGGACAGCGCCGCCATTAGGATAACACCTGAAATCTAGGACAGTAGAAGGAGACCATTTTCATTATTTCAGACACTCTAGTGGAGGGGTCTCAAACTATACAATAGGAAGGCCACTTGAACATTCAAGTACTACAAGAAAGCACAATATTCTGAAAATATTTCCATTCCTAACATCATACCTGCAAACAACAGTTTCTATACTTTTTTCATAATCATCATTTTTTATCATCTTCGCAGCCAAACAACAAATGAAGGACCCAAACCTAATTATCGACACGTTTACCGGCACCTTTGACCTTTGCCATCATTGTTGCCAAACTATACATATACACATATTACATATATACATACACACATAAATGTTTTAAAATATATTTAATTGTATATTCAGGGATACTTTAAATTGATATGAAACAACTAGAAAAAACACATTTTAATGAATAATAATATTACAGGCGGGATAATATAATATTTTTGACCTGGGTCAGCAGTTTGAGATCCCCGGGCTACTGATAATAATAACTTCCTGAACTTCCATTTTAGTGAGAATACCCATATAAACAGGGTGAAAATGCAGAAAAATACTATCAGCATTACCTGTGTAGGTAGGACACTATAGGAATTGCATTAATGAGACATAAATACATTTACAGTTTTTTTCCAAGTCCTACACATGAACAGGAGTGCAGTATATTAATGAGGCTATTGTGTTACATAATCAGGAACAACCTCACACTGTAGCACACATGAAAGCAAATCATGTGGAATACTTTATTGATGTTTTTTTATTATGTATCCCTACAAACAGATGTGCTTTTCCTAAAATAATATTTAAGCGGGTAGTGCTTAACTGGTGGTCTTGCTGCACAAGGTGTTTACCATTGGCCAGAGAAGGCTGGAGAGTGAGCGGGTGAGGAGTGTAGCAGAGTTGGTCCACGTCCGGTTCACCCTCAACATAGTCGCACACTTCATGATGAGGAGGAAGAGCGCAACGCCACGCAGCGTACGAATATACTGCAGACACAAAAGACGTCTTAAACCCTGTGAATCATTGCCGTCATCTTTACAACCCACACTGTGATCTCTAAAGGACTTCTCAACCATAAACTTGAGCTTTCCTTGTGTATTTATGAAGGGTGTGTTTAATAAAAACAACAAAACCTTGCACATGGTGTGTCTTCTTAACTACAATGTAATGATACATGCAAAGTTTTAGTTATGTGCTGCCAATACACTCATTATTATCTTATTAAAGATGGGGCTGTTCATTTTCTGAGAGAAGGTACTGAAACAAATAAAGCAGGACATGCAGTAGCCGGTTCTCTCAACATTAAATATTTGTTTTCCTGTCTCTCCAACCGTCCTTTCACTGCTTTCAGTCATCTCTTTCTTTCTCTCACTTGTTCCCAGGTAGCCAGGAGGCTGACATCAACAGGTCCTCTGTGATTGTGTCTCTGCAGCAGCTCCACAACCTCCAAGATAATAATGGAGCGATAGATGTAATAAACGTAGTACACTAGGGTTACTGTCAGCAAACTGACCTGCAAGAGAGAGAGAGAGAGAGAGAGAGAGAGAGAGAGAGAGGTATATATCTACACCAGTAAAGCATAATCAGGTAGATTTCATTCTTTGCTGTGTGCTTTGACCTTCATTACTACACAAGTATGTTAGTTTAAGAGCTACAGGTTACTTTACCCTTTCGGCTAGGTCATTGTGATCTTGTTTGCATTGGTGTGTGTGTCTGAGTGTGTGCATGTTTCCATGTGTCTGCTCTATGTACGAGCATGTAAGTCTTTTTTGGAATTATTTTGTCAAAATTAATAATCATTTTTAAATGTGTGTGTATTTGTATATATGCGTTAGACTCACCTCCAGCCAGTTGGAGGGTGTCCTCCAGTATCCCACCAGCCCTTGCTGCCCTACAGTGTTTACCTGACCACAGAGTTGTAGCAAAGACAAGAGAAGGAAGAGGAGCTAGAGGGTAGGAAGGAAAAACATGAGGAAATTTAAGGCTTTCTGACAGAATCTGACTTAAAATCTCATTATGTATTTGGTTGTAGAAGGTTTTGTCTGTATATTTTGCTTTCTCAGGCTTTATGATGGTGTGGAATACTAGTTGTTTATTCAGATAACAGGTAATGCAGTATTGTACCTGGCAGACCATAACAACAAAGTCCCACACAGCAGGAGTGTGATAAACCCTAACTGACTGGACTTTGGCAGAGGTCAGCAGGACACCGGTGGGGCTCTGCTCAGCGAGCATTGTCACGTCTGTGAATAAATTGGGGGCAGGGCTGAACAAGGTGAACTGGACCCTCACGGCCACTGTCTGTCTGCCCAGCCAGCCACCTGAATGCAGGAGCTTCAGTCTGGATGCAGCATCAGACCTGTGGAAGAATGGAGGACAGCTGAATGATGGTAGCGTGATTAGAGTTGACATTACAGGAAATCATTTTGGCAAAGATCAAATTTGGGAAAAAAAGTATCATTCATGTGTGTGTTTCTTACTTTGTGTGGCCTAACCCAACTGTAGCATTTGGTTCTAAGTAGCAGCCCAGGTGACCACATGTCCTTGGAGGTGTTTCAAGTAAGACATTTGAGCGTAGATGATAAGATGTACTGCTCCCGGACAAGAACAAGCGAAGACATTCTGGT